TTGTCAAGCCATGCTGTGGCGGCATCCCATATAAAGTAGAGGAAGATGGGCACGGATGTTAGCCCAGGGCCAATCTTCCTCAGCAAAAAGAGGAGCATTGGCCACAGATGTTAGCTCAGGGCTAATCTTCCTCACACACAAAAAAATTTAATTCTTTATGTGTATGTAATTTTACTTAAATATGTAAACACATGCATTTTTTCCTTTATCACTCTTTGCCTATACTTTCCTTCACAGCCCTGTGATCTCCCAGCCCCCCAAAATAATACATGGTAACAACCTAGTATGAATGTTTCCATATTTTTCACTGATCTCATCTAATCATACATCAATATTTCATATTATATCATGGCTTGTTTTACAAAATGACATTTTAGTATACATACTTCACTGTATCTTGATTTTTCTCACCAAACAATACAAAATCTCTTCGGGTCAAAAGTAATGCATTCTTTTTAATTGCTGTGTGATAGTCCATGGTGCAGATATATCATAATTTATTCAGCTAATTCTTTATGGGTGATTATTTACTTTGTTTCTAAATATTTGCCATACAAGCTGTCTACTTGAAAATACATGTATGTGTGTGTCAGAATATCCAAGTAGTAACATTGGTATTATTTATTCTCAAGTTAGATAAAATCCAGCTACAAACATATCTTGTCCTTATAATTAAATTATAAATCTTTAATCATCAATCACTTCTGTCAAATCTTTTTTATTGCCATCATTTGATTTTTTTTCACTTTCTTTCCTCTTCTCTTCTTTTCTTGCTATACTTTTTAATCTTTGTGAGTTTTTCACTTCTGATTTTTCCTATGCTCTGATCATTTTGTTAATTTCTGGTAGCTTATTTTGAATTATTATACTACATTTTTCTTCTGATTAATGCACACTTCTCTGGTATATTCTCATTTTCCATCTGAATGTGATTTACTTCATTTTCATCTCATTACCTTTAATAACTTGCATGGAGTTAGACAAATTTTACCCAATATTTTAAAATGATTTGTTTTTATGAACCATTAGGAGGACAGATGGTATGAATATCTTTCCCAGCTTTACAGATGGAGGACTCCTCCTCTGTTGTAATCATCAAGTATGGCCTTTCTGTCTAACCATTTCTTTGTCTCTCACCGCTAAGCTTGGTATATAAAGGTTTTTGTTTTGATTTGGTTTAGTTTTGTCTCCACATCTCTGTTTCCTGGATTTCTATAAACCTTGGTTTTCAAGGCAGAACTCTCATCTTTAGATATTTTATTTTGCTGCTACAGTACTCCAGATCACCCTCTCTTGTGCACTGTTGGAGGGATTGTAAATTGGTGCAGTCATTATGGAAAACAATATGGAGGTTCCTCAAGAAATTACAAATAGGACTGCCATATGATCCAGAAATTCCACTTCTGGGTATACATCCAAAGGAAATGAAATCACTATCTCGAAGAGCTATCTACATCCCCATGGTCATTGCAGCATTATTCACGATAGCCAACATATGGAAACAACCTAAGTGTCCATCAATAGATGGATGAAGAAAATGTGATATATATATAGGTGGAATACTATTCAGCTATAAAAAGAAAGAAATCCTTCCATTTGTAAAAACATGAACCTAGAGGACACTATGCTTAGTGAAATAAGCCAGACACAGTAAGACAAATACAGCATGATCTTACTTATACGTAGAATCTAAAATAGTCAAACTCATAGAAGCAGAGAATAGAATTGTGGTTATCAGGTACTGGGGGCTGGGGGAAATGAGGAGACGTTGGTCAAAGAATACAAACTTTCAGTTATAAGATGAATATGTTCTGGGGAATCTAATGTACAGCATGGTGACTAGAGTTAGTAATGTAGTATTGTGTACTTGAAATATGCTAAAAGAGTAAACCTTAAATGTTTCCACCACACACCAAGAAAACACATGGTAACTATGTGAGCTGATGGATGCATTAATTAGCTTGATTGTGGTCATTATTTCACAATGTATACATATATTAAATCACAATGTACATTCTAAATATATATAATTTTTATTTGTCAATTATACATTAATAAAGCTAATAAAAAATAGTTATAATGATAACTAAAAAAACAAATTACAGTGCATTCTTGGGTTTATAGCTTACAGAGAAGTAAAATGTAGATAACAATCACCCAACAGACAGGAGGGGGAGATGAAAACACTACACCAATGTAGTGTTCTTAAATAATACATAAAGTGTGAGAATATTATTTGAATGAAGGTTCCGACAACTACACAGGGTATATTGTTAATCTTAAACCTTTAGTAAAAAATAAACAAAAATAATAAGTCATTAGTGAAATGAAATACTAAAAATAATTCAATTAATCCAAGAGTAGTTTAGAGAGAAGGGGGAAATAACAAACAAAAACTGGTAAAAACATAAAAGAGATAGCAAGATGGTAGATTTAACAAAGTATTTTCTAACAAATAAAAAATAAATATGGCTCCCAACTCTTAACATAAGGTAAAAATAAAATCAATATTTTGTAACGAGATACTATGAATACTGTTGTATAAATGTTTGGAGTGACTACACTAGAAATACCTGGTACATAGAACACCAGGTATGATGTTCATGCCTATACCTGGAGTCACTGGGAATGCAATAGGTACAAACGCAGACTGATTTACAAGTTTGTAATTGTGACTGAAATATCTGGAATGGGGTTGCCATTGGCGATATATTTCCAAAATAGTGAACAACCCCTGGTAAAATTTCAAAGATAACAATGTTTAGTCTGCCCTTATTGTACACAATGGTTGCATTCCTGAAATATTCAGTGATCTTTAAAACAGTGCAAAAAATACTTTGGGTTTATATAGCTTACAGAGTAGGTTCTTGGGTCATTAACCTGGTTTTAGACTACATGAATGATGGGCCATTAAAATTATAGAGAAGGTAAGATAATTCTTTGTTGCATGTGACTCTTTCAAAAATTGAGGAATGTCTAACATCCTTGCCTTCAACCCCTAAAGAACAGGACTTCTGTCCCATTTTGGACAACCCAAAATGTGCCCACATATTTCCTAAATATTCTCTAGAGGTGGCACTGTGCCCGCTGAGGTCATCCTCATGTAGAAAAAGAGTCAAGATTGCTAAGAAGCTGAAGATAGTAATGTCTATGGACCATAGTTAATAAATAACTCTATTAAAATACATAGCCATATAAATACCCTCCATTGTGTTCACTGAGTTAACCAGGGTATGTCTATAAAGCATGGCATAGTTCCTACAATCTCTAGACCACCATCTTTGACAAAGCATATGGCCCACCATTCAGCTTCTTTCTCCTTAGTCTCCTACCATCTACCTCTTTACATCCCCCCAAGAACTTCAAGGTCAATCCCTCCATCTCAGGGCTCTTATAAAAGAGAGAACAGTTTTCCTCTTCTGCAGTCACAGGCCTGCATCTGAGTCAATAGTAACAATCCCCAGGGTGCAACTCTGGTGATAGTGAAACATGGTTATAAGAGCAATTTTACTCCTCAGTGACTTCAACACCTCCACTGAAGAACAGAATTGCCGCTTTCCCTTTTGCAAAGCCAAAGTATTCACTAAAGTGTTTTGTGAAATGTAACAAAGGGTAGTCTTCATGTAAATGAATCAGAAAATTGCTGACAACTTCGATAAAATTTTAACTGGCTTTTAGAAATCAAGTTTTCAAAAACAGAAAACACTGACTTCTAGTCTCAGAGCCCCTCCTATATACTGACGATTTGCACACATAAGAAAACGTTGCATAATGTTCTGATACGTTAACTGATGTTTACCTTGTGT